CCTGCCTTTTCAAGGGCAAACGGGCGTCCCGTGCCAGGCCTTCTCTACCTAGCAGGCCCGAATGCTCGGCGGCTCCGGCGGTCGAGCGAAACAGGCAGCTCCCCACCTCCCCGCCGGCGGCGCCGCCTCCCCGCCCTCCTCTAGCTCGACGCGGGGTTGTCCCTGCGAGGGGTAGGAGGTGGTGCCGCCGCGGGCAGCTGCCGTTGTCGTCGTCGCGCGGCCCCTCGTCCCAGCCTGGGCGGCCTCCCCGCCCGTCCTTCGGCCCGTGCCTGCCGGAGGAAAGCGCCGTGACGACGAGAGGCTTCGGGCCGGGCAGCGAGCGACGGAGGCTGGAAATGGCGGCTGGAACGAGCTAAGGTCCGGCGGACGGGAACCAGCACCAAGTCGCCCGGGCTTGCTCGCCGCCGGAGGGTCGCCATGAGGCTGCTCCGGGCGCTGCTGAGGAGCGTCTCCCCCGCCACCATCCCTCAGCAGGTGGACTTCTATTGCCGCTTCTCCCCGTCCCCCCTTTCCATGAAACAGTTCCTCGACTTCGGTGAGTGGGCGCTGAAGCGTGGGGGAAGTGATCGGCGCCTGCCTGCCTTCTTCCTTGCCTTGCCTCCCCCGACCCCCCGTTTCCCCTCAGGCACTCCTCGCCCCACTCTTGACCCCTCCATTTTCCGGCCCACTTTCAGCAGTGTCGAGCCACCAGGCCTCTGCCGATTCTGGTACCTCGAGGGACAGGCCCAGGCCCCGCAGCCAATCGTTGCAAAGGCGCCCCCTCCGCCGCCCCTTCTGGAGCGCCGAGTGTCCCGGTTAAAGGGAACGAGGCCTCGGCTGCACTCCAAAAGAGTTTTGGAGACTCGCTCGTTGAGTGTTGAGCAGGGCAGGCTTGTTGTGCAGAGTGACCCCGGCCTCAGAAGCCCCACTGCAAGCAAAGCGACTGCAGTCTAAACTCACTTGTGCAAAATGACTTCAGTCTAAGTGCAGGCCTGTGCGGAGTGACGGCCGTCAGAGGTCGTGGATCGCGACGCACCTAGATTGGAGTCACTCTGCATATACGGTTGCATTTAGGGTTGCCACCTCCAGCTTGGGAAATATCTGGAGATTTGGGAGGAACGGGGGAACACCATTTTCTCCGGGTGAATTGATCTCTGTCTCTTGGAGATCAGTTGTCAGGCCCCTAGCCAGGATTTTTTAAGTCGGGGGCATTTAAATTTCTTAGGGGGCTCTGGCTAATCGAATTAAAGGGATACCTGGCTCCTTCCCCGCACCTGCCAGTGCTCAGGGGTCCTGGGCTAGATGGGAAGTTGTGGGGCCTTGCCAGTAAGTGAGAGGGCCTAGCCCTGAGATGCCCCAGTGTAGCTACAGGTCTGTCCGTTGTAATACCAGGAGATCTCCAGCCACCACCTGGAGGTTGACAACCCTATCACTGCAAATGGCACACTAGACTCTAGCTCTGTAACTCCACTTACTAGACAGCTAACAATTATTTGGGTTGGAAGGGGGGGGGAGAAACCATATTAGGATAAATAAATGGGAGTCTCAGCACCATGAAGACTTTTATTCCAACATAATCTTCCATGGACTGAGCCCAGTTCTTCAGATGCTGTGAATGGATCTTCGCTATGTGGACCTTTTTATTTAGTTACTTAAAATATTTATGTGTCTGCCTTTCTCCTGACAAAGGCAGTACCTAAGGCAGGTAACAACAAAGTGCAATACACAGCAAATATACAGTACCAGCTACCATTTGCCAAAAACAGTCATATATTGGAGAATGAGGGGGAAAGCAGCCTTGTTTTTGCCTTAATGATCTTATCTTTGTACATAAAATGTCTACATAGTGACTGCATCTGAAGGAACTCGAAAGGGATTCCATTCCACCAAAGCTTATGTTGGAATAGCATTTTGGTGATTTTTGTGCTGCCACGAGGCTCCTGTTTATTTTTACAAGGCAGCTTGCTAGTCAGAATGTGATGAGAACGGGACCTGTGGGTTTAAAAGCAATCTTTGAGAAGTTTGTCCAAGTTCTCTAGGTTAATGCATAAAACTACTTTTTCTTGCAAGGAAAATTACAGTGTGGCTGTTTGAGTTAATAACACGAGATTGGTGCTGTTGTGCTGGAGTGAGAAACATCACAGTGAAATGAATCCAGGTTTTATACATCAACGGTTATTTGATATAGTACTTTTTCCTCTCTTGCACAGTCATGTGACCGGACCTTTTTCTTTAAGTAATAGTGCTAGTGTTAAATGCATATCCTTTTTCACCTGTCTGAATGTTCCTTGTTTCAAAAGCTTCCAATTTCAGATAACTCACAGTGCTAACTCTCCATATTTTTATATCTTCCTTCTAAAGTTCTTATAAAGTTAGCTGGACACACAAGGCTAGGCAAAGATAAGTTTGTTTTAACTGTTTTTTTCTTTGTCAAAGTTGCAAACAGGCCCATGTAAACATGCAGTATATTGCATCAGCCAAACTGTAGTAACCATTATCTCTTGAAAATCAGTAATGTTACACATTACACATCTGCAAGCACCAGGCTTTATAATAGTTTAGCAATATTTCAGTAGTGCATCTCAAAGCTAAACTGGCTCTTAGTCCATTGTTGTATCCAGTTGTTTATTGCATCATCGCAATTTGTGATATTGAGGTGGCATAGCAGCCAGTGTATCTCATTCTTACAATGTATCTAATGACAGAAAAATTCTCAGGGATGATTTGTCTTTTAGGAAGCAATTTTATGTGATGCATGAATATCAGTGTTTGGTGCCTGCACTGCTGAATAGTGTAAAGAATTGTGAAGAAGGGCCATTCTTGTTTCCAGGGATGTGGAGAAATGAATCGGGAATAAAACGGCCAATATCATAATGCCCCTGTATAGATCTATGGTGTGGCCTCATTTGGAATACTGTGTATAATTCTGATCACTGTATCTCAAAATGGACATTGCGGAGCTGAAAAAAGTACAAAGGAAGGCAACCAAGATGATTAGGGGGTTGGAGCACCTTCCCTATGAGGAAAGGCTGATGAGTCTGGGACTTTTCAGTTTAGAAAAGAGACGACTAAGGGGGGGACATGGTAGAGGTTTATAAAATGATGCATGGGATGGAGAGAGTTGACAAAGAGAACGTTTTCTCCCTCTCCCAAAATCCTAGAACTCATGGGCATCCAATGAAGCTGATGGGCAGTAGGTTCAGGATGGACAGAAGGAAATACTGCTTTATACAGAGAGTGATTAAAATGTGGAATTTGCAGCCAGAAGATGTAGTGATGGCCACAGGAATAAACAACTTTAAAAGGGGATTAGATAGACTTATCCTCCATGAATCTATCAGTGGCTACTAGCCATGGTGACTGAGGGGAAATTAAGGAATGGATGAGAGAAAAATGAGGTGTGTAAACAATGAGAGCCCTGACCTGGCTAGCTCGATCTTGTCAGATCTCAGAAGCTAAGCAGGGTTGGCTCCGCCTTGTATTTGGATGGGAGACCTCCAAGGAATACCAGGGTAGTGACGCAGAGGCAGGCAATAGCAAACCACCTCTGAACATTTCTTGCTTTGGAAACCCTATGGAGTTGCCATAAATCAGCTGTGACTTGATGGCAAAAAGAGAGGGAGGGAGAGGGACACAATACAGGGTGGGAAGGAATTCACCAGTGTTCTGGGGGCTGTTAGCCTCTCTAAGAACCCAGATTCTTTCACTTTAACCCTTTGATTAATTGGAGAACATATTAAGTGCCCTTCTGCCTGTAAAAAGCGTTTGGTGTGATTTCAAATAGCGAAGAAATAAAATGAGCAATTATGGATTCCAAGGGAGGCTTCTAGCTGTTTGCAGGAACCCCAAGGTTTACGCTGTTGGGCTGCACCAAAAGGCATCACACTGGCTGTTGCCTTGCTGTCTCGCGTGAGAGGCAAATGAGGCAGGTGGACAGCTCGGGTTCTCTAATCTTACTTCCCCCCACCCCTTCCTGAGAGCCTGGATCAGCATAGACTATGATTATGGCCATGTGGCCTTGCTTGCTTTCGGTGCAAAGCTTACCTACACTGAATTTCTAGGTGCGTGGCATGCAGATACTGGACTGTCTGCTGTGGTTCTCTCCCCCCCTCCCCCTCCCAAAAAAGTGCTCTTGTTAATCTGCCTCTTAGCAGATGCCCTTACAAAGGTGGAGAAAATCTTTTCGGTC